TGAGTATAAATTTTAAATAATATATAATTTAAGAAAATACTAGTACTATTCAGATATAACATTTATCTCCCTTTAATTTTCTACTTTTGGATTTTTCTGTGTGAAGTGAGCTATTCAACAAAGTGAATATTCAATTTAATATTTTTCATGAAGCCACAAATGGCATTCACTGTTATGAATGAAACATGAATGTATGTTAGTATTTTTTTAATCATTTCACCCCAAGCAAGATGATGATGCCATTAGAATGCTTCTGGTTACTGGGAGTGAAAGAGAACGAGAAGACTTTAGTGATGAGAAATGAGGAAAAGGGCAATAAAAGAACAGGTTTCAGGAAGACAGAAGATGCTGTTTGACATGACACAGTGGCGTAGTTAAGGGGGGGTGCAGACCACCCCGGGTGCCAGCACAAGAGGGGTGACACAATGTCACCCCCAACAAAATTTTTCAACCAGGCTAAGGTGCCAAAAATAGTCTGAAAACAGTGGTGGAGACACAGGGTTTCGCAGGCGGGCATATGACCCCTCAGAAATAATTTATGACCCCCCCCAGTTTTGTCCCCCTGTCAGAAATTTTCTAATAAATTGTCGGGAAATTTGTGAGTAGGAAAAATAGCAATAGCTTTTGATTTGAACTGATTATTTTGTGGTATTGGATTTTGTCTTTTGTCTTGGATCATACATGTAAACAGTAACGTACCGGTCAGTAGAGTAAAGTAGAGGTAGAGCATGTATGAAAATTTAGCTACAGCTAACCATTCAGCATAGGGTGAATCGGGGTCATTGGGCTGACATTTGAGCGGACTGCCCCGGGTAACGTTTACTCTAGCTACGCCACTGACATGACATTTACATTTTTGAAGATTATAGGAGGCAGGAAAGCAAGAAACCAGAAGAGAGTTCCACAGGTAAGAAGTGTGAAAAAAGAAATGGTTAAATATAACTATTTCAACAGTAAAACAATGAGACCTAACTGCTAATCAAGTAGTATACTAAAATTCATGTAGTTGTGGTACCAAGGAAGAAAGTTCATTAGAATAATTGGCATGAAAATATTTATAGAAAAGATGCAGGAAAGCTATGTCATGGCAGTGGAAAAGTGACTGGAGTTGAGATGCCAGGTCAAGATCAATAACATTACAGATCCTTCTTTGGATTTTGTTGAGAATTCAAGGCTCACCAGATTAGATATGGCACGAATATTCAATGCACTGATGAATGGTAGATTTATAAATATGCAAGATGCATTCTGGCAAGAAAAACTGTTTAGCACAACACAGTGAACCAATTTTTCTAACAGCAGACTTGTAATTGATTCAATATAATCATTTCACTTCATGTCAATAGAAAATGTGAGATCAAGAAGTCACAATGAATTACTCTCCTGGAGGTTAGCATCAGCCATTGCTGATGGAAGGGAAAAATAGTTTTTTGATGACTAAAAGAGTTTCATTTTGGAGATGTTAAAATTTACAAGACATTTCTTGCACTATTTAATGAGTGGCGGTCATCTTTGAGAAGCTGCAAGTTTTACTTTATCAGTAGCATCTTCAGTAGAAATACTGAGTTGGGAACTGGTGATACTGGAAAGGTTGTTGATGAAGATAACAATGTATGCCCAATGATAGTGCCCCGGTGGACTCCTTCATTAGCTTTTCACTATTCCAATCTATATTTGGATTATGGTGTTATATTTTCTGTCATCTGTTAAAACAATTTGCAGATAGTAAAATTTCTATACTTGTTTGTTTTTGACAACCCCATTTTGTAGCTTACATTTTGGACTGTTCTTGTTGACAACATTACATTCAGTTGACGGTTAGTCCTTTCTTCCTGCTTTCCTTTAATATCTCATCTAGATGTTCCTGCAGTTTTCTTTCTGTATCTGTCATTAACATAGTACCACATGCATATCCTATGCTTTTAAGATTGTGTCTATTAACAGTAAATCTTAGTATGATGTCCAGTTCTATGATCTTCAAAAATTTAAATGCAACATCAATCACCATCTTCTGTCTCCCTGAATCCTATTCTTTTGAGATTGTCATTTTCTTCTTTTCTTTCACTCTCAGTAACTCTTTGCATTAGTGGCATTATTACCTTGCTTGGGACAAAATGAAAAATAGCAAAATATACAGATATCCAAATACACAAAAAAAAACACTAAAAAGTATTAAGAAATGAGAAAATTTCATTAGAAACAAAAAAAAAAGACTATTGGACTAGTATATAAAATCAATTCTTCTCCATGACAGTGACTGTTGGACAGTTTCTTCACAAATGAAGATGTTACTTGAGACAACAGAGATACAGTTCTATAGAATGAAGTTGAGAATAGCGTGGATGAAGCATGTGAACAATAAGGAAGTTTTAAAGAAAATTAAAACAAAAAGACACTTATACTTAGAATCAGAAAGAGGCAGGTAAAATTTTTGTGACACACAATGAGGAAAGAGAGCTCGGAGAATTCAATACTCGCAGAACATATTGAAAGCAAGAGGAACAAAGGGAAACAGTGAGTAACCAACCTAATAAGCTGGTATCGATGGATGTCAGATCAGGGAATGAGAAAAATAGTAAAATAAAAGTAAATGTTGCTTAGAGCAACAAAAGACAGGAGATAGTTGTGGAGAGCCATGATAGCTAACATCTTGAAAAAACATGTCACATCAAAGAAGAAGGCCTAGATTACTGGAAATCTTAATAAAGAAAATGTATCTCTTGGTCTAAAGCACTTTCCTTTATATGGGAAATGACCTTTTAACCAGTTTTGCCTTTTCCATTTGGCCATTGAGATCCTTACAGAAAATCAAGGCCCAATTAGAATTAATGAATTTATTTTTTCTCCTCTCTCTCTCTCTCTCTTTCTTATATATATATATATATATATATATATATATATATATATGGATAGTTTAATGAGTCAAACTTTAATTTATGTTAAGATCATGTTTGTATGAAATCTGAAGTTACAATTTCAGATCAGAGTCCCTGAGCACATTTTGGTGTTTGTTATTGTTATGGTCCGGTTCCTTGTACCACAGTGATAGTCCAAGGTAGAACCAATAAAGAAGAACTCGAATACAGATACGGAGTAACACAGATATATTACAAACAGGAATATATACAGAGAAGTAGAAAGTGTTAGTATGAACAATCAGGTTTAGTAGTAATTGTCTGAACGCGACTCTGTTTCGGACTGCCTCTGATTCGACTGACTGACTCACTCGCTCTGACTGAACTCTCTGCTTCCTCTTGAGGCGCAGTATTTATTATGTATGGAATAGTCCATTATGTTATTATGGGTAAGGTCCTATAACAGTTATCATTGCAGCACTGTCTTAGTTTGGTTTCTGAATGCAAAAAGCATTATATATTTTTGTTTAGGTAGGTGTCTGTCTTCATTTTTTTTGTGTTTTCTTTTCTCACCAGCTTGACATTAGTAAGGTTGGTTTCTCTTTACTGATTACTTAGTTTATTCTTATATATATATATATATATATATATATATATATGAGAGAGAGAGAGGTATGTGCAATGTTGCTGCACATACACATGGGGTATGTTTTCAGGGGCCAACCAAAAAATGATGGCGATGTAGTTAGCTCAAATGGTAAAAGCCAAATATTCAAAATACAAAAGTCTTACAAAGGAAGGTTATAAATATATTCTTTTTGTAGTGATATGTAAACGTGGTACTGTATAAAAGGCAGTATTGCTATACCTACTGGAACGCTATCTGCCAGAGAGGATACCTATCATAATAATATGACATCGTCAATTGGTTACTTAATCACAATGGAGTATCCCGAATATGTAAAAACCTGGCTTAGGTGTTAGCAAGAGTAAAAAAGTTAAAGGACACCAAATCTAGTGGAGGAGAAAATGAAGTTACGGATTTGTTTTTGAACTCAGTAGGGTGTGAGGCCATATAAAAAAATCTCTGTCATGATCTATTCCAAAGTATTGGAAGATTTAGCACATGAAGAATTTGCTGCCATTATAAAAGCAAGTATATGACCAAAAAAAGATTGGTCATAGTGGAAAGAACTAAATTTCTTGTAAGTAGACAGAGACTGGATGAAACTATTATGCTATATGTACAGCAATTGAAAGAAGCATCAAGATATTGTGAGTTTGAAAGAATCGTTTTGGAACAAATGTCTATCAAAGACAAGCTAATTTTGCTAAGACTGATTGAAGGAATGTTTGTAAAATTCTAGAGCAGCCTCAAGCTCATAATATGAATCTGGAAGCATGTCTGTATTTCTTACAACAATTGGAATTGAATCAAAAATGTATTTAAGCGTCCAGCCTTTGGGAAATGGTGTTTTTAGTGTAAAAAGCGGAATCATTTCTAGACGGTATGCACATATGAAAAGTGAGTGGGAAAAGTGGAAAATATTGATATTCTGATTGAAAGTACGGAACTATTTGAGATAAAAGTACAGGATAAAAGTAGGGAAATAGTGAAGTTGAATGTAGTAACTTTACTCATGAAGGTGAATATTGGAAGTGATGTTACATTGATACTGAGGAAATTTTGAGAAAGAATCGTAGACCAAAGTTAAAGAAAAGAATCTCTAGTTGAAACAGTTTGATGGGTCAATCATCAAAATTATAGGATGCTTTGAAGACACATTTGAGACAAAAAATAGATTTATGATAATAACCATCATAGTGGCGGAAAACATCAAAAGCCATGGTCTTTTAGGAATTGATGTGTCAAGAGTGGATACATTGAAGTTGATAAATTCTATATCTGTAGAACCAGATGTTGGATTATTAAGGGAATATGAGGTAAGTATTTGGCTTAAAGAAAGCAGTCAACCCATGTATTTTCAAGCCCAAAAATGTTTACATGCTACCCTTGATGGATGCTAAGCTGAACAAAATGGTGGAACAAGGAATATTAGAAAAAGTCAGCCAAGGTGATAGCAATTGGGCTTCATCCATTGTGGCAATATGCAAGTCCAATGGACATTTAAGAATTTGTGGCATTTATCCTTCCTTCCATCCTTCTTGGCTGTCCGTCATTGCTGACGACGACACTGTCCATCCTTCTATGTCCGTCTTCTGTGAGCTTCCAAATGAGACAGCAGCCCAATCCATGAATGACAAGCTCTCAGGCACAGGTGGCAGGGAAACATGCACGGTGCGGAATTGGCAGGCTGCAGATGACACTGGTATCGCCTCCCTTCGAGTGCTTCTCACCTCCCCTCCTTGAAGCGTGCCACTCTGGTGATGCAGAGAGACTGCCAGCCGACCCTATCCTCTGCAAGGTTCTCCAATTGTGTTGGATCAATATTGTAGGAGACTAGAACACACTTAAGATTTGGACCCCCATGTGGGTGACTGCTGGTCTCAAGCTCTCTATAAAATACAATTTTTGGGAGGTGACTGCTTGACATCCCCACAACATGCCCAACCCAACACAGAAGGCACTGTCAGATGATGGCCTCGATGCTGATGACCTGCACATTGAAGAACCTTGCTGTGGGGGATTTTATCCCTCCATGTTATGCACAAAATTCACTGAAGGCAGCAGATGTGAAATGTCTCAAGTAGTTTTATTTGCTTGCGATACAGGGTCCAGCATTCACAGCCATAGAACAGTGTTGAAACAACTAAAGTTCGATAGACAGCGAACTTTATGATGAGTTGGAAGTTACTATTATAGAAGACCCGGGGGCGGAGATGTCCAAAGGAAGCGGAGGCAAGATTTATCCGCTGGAGAATGTCTTCATCAATGCGTTCATTATCGGATATGACGCTGCCAAGGTAGATGAATGAGTTGACATTAGACAACGAAATGTTTTCAATGTGCAGCCAAGCTGCTGGATCATGTCATTTAAACGCTGTTTGAAAGACCTCTGTTTTATTTGGGTTGATATCAAGACCAAGGCGAGAATAAGCCTGATGCAATGAAGTCAGGGACTGTTGTAGTAAGAGTGCCTCATGAGAAACTATGGCAGCATCGTCGGCATATTGCAGTTCATAGACAGGAATTGTAGTGGTCAGATTCTTAGCTTTGAGATGTCGGGCATTAAAGATGCTTCTGTCAAAGCGATATCAGATACATATTCTGTCATTGGGTTCCATATGTAACCGAGAGAATAAGAGTTACAGCAACCAGATAGATGTTAAAGAGCATGGGAGCAAGAATACAGCCCTGTTTAACTCCTGTATGCAAACTGAACTGTTCTGATGAGGATCCCCCGACAGATACTTTAGCGAGCATATCCTTGTGAAATTGGTGTAGAAGACTCAGAAAGGTCGGCGAACAGCCAAATTTGCCAAGCAAAAGCCATAGAACCTCACGATTGACCATATCAAAGGCTTTATTTAAGTCAACAAAAGCAAAATTAATCTCTCTTTGCTGCTCCCTGCTTTTTTGAGTAGTAGACAAATGATGAATATCATGTTGAGGGTACTACGTTCATGTCTGAAGTCACATTGAGATTCCAGCAAAATTCTCTCAGTCAGAAAGATGAGAAGACGGCGAAGCATAATACGTACGAGAATCTTTCCAGCCACATCTAGGAGGGAAATGCCTCTGCTGTTGCCACAGATGGAGCGATCACCTTTCTTGTAAATGTTTATGATATTTGCATGTTTCCAGCGCTTAGGAATCATTCTGTTTGTTCAGCACAGGTCAAAAAAGGAATGCAGATATGATGCAAGGTGTGGTCAACCATACTTGTACACCTCTCCCAGAATACCGTCATCACCGGGGTACTTCTTGTTTCTTATGGATTTTATAATACTAACTTTATCTGATGTTGGAACAGAGTTCAGCTCAAGGAGGCCCGGGAGAGTCGGAAGTTCGTCTAAAGCTGAAGAATCAATCAGCATGTCTCTGTTTAAAAGTTCCTTGAAGTGCTCAGCCCATCGTGCTAGGATTTCTTCTTTTTCCTTGAGCAGAGTAGAACCATCAGGGAAACGAACAGGTGCTATGGCATTGCAAGAAGTACTGAAAATACGATTAATGGAATCATAAAATTCCTAAGTTTTGTTTTTGTCAGCAAAACGTTGAATTTCTTCAGATTTGCGGAGCCACCAGTTTTTTTGAGCTTCCTGAAGCTTCTGTTGTGCCTCTGCTCATAAACGGCACCAGTTTTGGACGTGAGTATGAGAGCATGGATGTGCAAGATTAGCATTGTGTGCTTGATTCTTTGTCTTCAGAAGTGGCTGGATAACTTCCACAGATTCATCGAACCAATTTGGGTTCCTTCGTTGAATTTTCCAAGTGTAGTTTCAGCAGCTTACCGAATAGCTAGGATGGTGGAGTCCCATAGACTGTCAATTTCCTGCTGATCATTAACATCAGTGGGAGGTGCTAGGAGTGATTGACAGACATTGAGTAAGTTCGACTCATTTTGATGCTTGTTCAAGACAGGCAACATTGAGTGTAGGGGTGGCTTTGGCTTTTCAGGCTGGAGACTGAAGCGAGAGATTCACACGAGAGCGAATCATGCAATGATCAGTCCAGCAGTCCGCTCAATGCATGGTGTGAGTTTGAAGGACATCTTTTTGATTGCGTTGATGGACAATTGCGTAATCCAACAGGTGCCAAGTCCAAGAGCGCAGATGCATCCAAGAACACTTGTACTTGTTCGAATGTTGAAAAATGGTATTGGTAAACACAAAGGCTTAGAAGACGGAGTCCATTAGCATTCATTTTTCCAATACTCTGCGAGTCAATGACTCCCGTCCAGACTAACATATTGGAGCCAACTCTAGCATTAAAATCTCCAAGGAGGATGATTTTGTCTGTCCGAGATACCTCTTGCAGGGCTGCATCGAGAGATTCAGAGAAAGCATCCTTTATCTCTTCATAGGCATCCAGGGTCAGGGCATACTCACTGAGAATGGTTGTGTAGGCATTATTGGAGAGAGGAATTCTGTGGGTCATTAGTCTTTCGCTGTGTCTATTTGAAACAGAAGGAAGGTTCATTAGAAGTGATGAGCGAACTGTGAGTCCAACACCATGGACTCAAATTTCTCTGGTGGGAAGACCTTTCCAGAAGTATGCATATCCCTCGCCCTCCTCAGTTATGGAACCTTCATCGGGACATTTTGTTTCACTGAGTGCAGCAATATCTACAATGTATAGCTTGAGTTCAGATGCTATCAGTGCAGTTCTTTGTTGTGGCCTAATATGATTGGGACCGTCCAGTAGGGTTTGTATGTTCCAGGTAACAAAAACAAAACATTTCAATTTTCTTCGTCAACTACAATAAGTGACCACCAGTTGAATTGAAACCAGCATCTTTTAGGCCAACTTTTATATGCCCCTCCCCATGCGAGGCCTGATCGTGCAAGTAAGACATGAGATGATGCATAGTTCCAGGGGGGCAATGAAACGGCCATCTTGGTTATGCCGCTCATGTGCAGGCTTTGAACTAAGAGCTGCCAGCATCATCCTATGCCTGCTCTCATCACCCATTGCCCATCACTGCAGGACTTTTTGAAAGAAAAAAAAATAAGGAGAGGAAAGACAGAGCCTGCACTCAGAATTGTTTAAGGTGGTGCTAGGTTGCACAGTCCCAGCCACACACACTTGTGGCAATTATAAGGTGGATGTGAATCCCCAGATCTGTTCAGATTTATTCCTGTTGCCAAACATTGAAACAGCATGCCATGAGTTGACATTGTTAGCATAAAAATTGATAGCAAATTTCAAGAAGTCACCACCATGTATACCTCTATTGGATTAATAAGATGGACTCATCTGTTCTTTAGAGTAAAAATGTCAAGTCACACTATTTACATTATTCGGACTATTGTCCTCATCTTTGTCACCATATTTATTACAACATTTCAGCTGCTGTATGCTCTGGCCTTCTTCATGTGGTTGCAATGTTGAACTGAACCCTTTATTTTGCTCACTGGGGTAGACTGTTCTAGTTCCACTGGCCATGTTTAATGGATATCAGTTGTCAGTTATCTCCTGTTAATTCCCCTTTCCAAGTTCACCACTGCCTTAACCAGGTATTGAACTCACACTTTTTGGTTCCTATCACTGGATCTAACCAACACATTTATCCATTGTGCCATGTGTCCTTGAGCTGAAACATTGTAATAAATATGGTGACAAAGATGAGGACAATAGTCCAAATAATGTAAATAGTGTACATAATACCTCATCTCAAAAATATAGACAGATGTCAAGTCACATTTTCCAAAAAGCCATCGCAAATGTTTTAGAGGGGATTAAAAATATAAATGTATATCAGGATAACATTGGCATTGGGGCATAGAGTAAAGAAGAGCTCAAAAGTAAAACAGTGCAAGTTTTAAGAAAATTAAATAGTGTGTGTATGACAATTGTGACTTTAACTGTGAAAAAATTTCATACCTAGGATATCAAATATGCAAAGACAGTATATCACTGGATGATAAACTCATTAATAAGATATAGCTGCACCCAGAAATAAAAAAAGAGAATCTTTTTTAGGATTAACCAATTTCTATAACAGATATGTACTGCAATATAATGACCTTGTGAAACCATTTAACAAAATAAAAAAGAAGAATACCAAGTTTCAAAGGACAAAAAGACAGGAGGTTGCTTTCACAAAATTAAAAAAGGCATGCATAAACAAAGCAGTTGGTAAAATTTTTGACCCAGTGAAAGAATTGGGATTAACTATTGATGCCAGTGTCTGTGCTATAGTCACAATATTGCCACAGGAGGATCACCCTGTAATGCACTTATCCAGAGAATTAACATCAAAGAGGCAAATTATTCAAATATTGAGAAGGAGATATTGGCAATTGTATGGAGCACAGAAAGAGCTAGAAATTTTTTGCTGGGAAGGAAATTTCTATTAAAGTCTGATCATAAGCCTTTGGAATTTATTTTCAACCCCAGAATTGAGTTGCCAAAGGTCACATCTACCAGGATATTAAAATGGGCAATTAAGCTTATGGTGTTTGACTTTGACATCATATATATTAAAATACTATTCCATATATGGATGCATTATCTCAGTTAAATTTTGAAAGTAAGAATGTTAAAGCAAGTGAAAATTGTAAGGATAGGATTTTGTACTGGATAGAAATAGATGTATAACCCTTAAATCAGCTTAGGTTAGGAGCTTGACAGGATCCAGTGTTGAATAGAATTATCAATAGAATAAATTACATGGAGTAATTACTCTATGGATGAGAGGTCTTACAAAGAGTCAAGACATAAATTAACAATAAAAACACAATTATATGTAATGGAGATGTCATAGTACCTCCAGAGTCTCTGAGAAAAGGAGTAATTAAAAGCTGTACATGATGATATAAATGAAGGTATATTGGCTATGCAAATGAGGTTAAAATTGCAAGCATGGTGATCAGGTTATTTGAAAGACATGGAAGAGTATGTTAAAAAATGCCCAAAATGTGCAGAAGTAAAGAAATTTAGACAAACTAAAATTCACTCTTGGCCAAAGGAAATGGAGCCATGGACATAAATACATATGGATCATGCCTACATTAAAGGTATAGGACTATTTCTGATATTAGTTGACTCGTCAATTATTTGGCCTAATGTTATTAAAATCATGAATAGAAAAGCCACTACGGTGAAACAGATGTTGAGGATAGTGTTTTTGAGAAATGGAGTTCCAAAAACCTTGGCTTCTGACAATGCACCTGAGTTTTGTGAAGAAAGTTTATGTGCATGGTTAAATGCATTGGCTGCATTCTATACAAAACACCACCTTATCACCCATGGTCAATTGTTGAAAGAATGGTTAACATGCTAAAATGGAATTAAAAGCATTCTCACCAATGGATTGTGATATAGAGAGTTATTTATCCAGACTACTCCTAAATTATAAAGCTATTCTGCATTCAGACAGAAGTATGTTCACATTGATGTGAAGACAAATAAGAGCTCCGATTACTATGTCATTAGCAACAAATAAAAGTGTGTGGTACAGAAAGAACATGAATTCAAGTCCTGAAAAGGTGAATTCTGTGGTGAAAAAGAGAATTAACACAGGGGTGTTAACAAAGAAGGGACAGGGCATACAGGCTCACAAACACCAATTTAGAGCCACAAGAGAGCATGAAATTAGGGAAAAGGAGGAGGAAGAGAAAGCAGAAGAACAGATGATGCAAGAAAGGATGAATGAATCCAGTATTGAGAGTGATCAGGAAGACCACCAGAGATATGAAAGTGAAGAACAGGAGAAGGAGGAAAGAATGAGTATATCCAGGGATGAGTGTAACTGGAAATATCATAATGATTCAAATGAGGAGATATCAGTTAAGACCAAAAGCTATGAAAAGAAATAAAGAGACTCACTCTGAGAGATAGATATCTCCCAGGGTTTTTCATAGAAGTCAAAGATCAACTAAAGGTATAGAGCCTCTTAGGTTCAGGGAGGTGTAGTGATATGTAAATGAGGTACTGTATAAAAGGCAGTATCACTATAACTGAGGAGTTATCTTCTTTTAATGAGACTACATCTGTCAGAGAGAATGCCTATCATAACACTTTCATTTTATAGATGTGGGACCCAATGTTAGAATTGTGCTCCTGACATGCAAAAATCATATTTTCAGGGGCCTACTGAAAAATATTGAAGGTGTAGTTAGCAAAAATGGCAAAAACCAAATATCCAAAATGCATATTACAAAGGAAGGTTATAAATATGTTCTTTTATTTTATAACTTTGGGACCCAATGTTGGAATTGTGCTCCTGGCATGCAAAAATCATCTGACCTTGCACAACTATGTTTGTACACTTTTTTATTGTTTCAGACATCTTTGTTGTGATTTCACATATGTATATACTCAATATTTAGTTTGTTTTGGCTGATACCACAAGTACTGCATATCCCCTGTTGTTTATGCCTACAGCTTTCCTCGTGTTTTATTTCTGGTCAATTTATGCCTGTTTGTACTTGAGTTTTCAAACATTGCTTGTGTTTGTGTGTGTGTGTGTGTGTGTGTGAGAGAGAGAGAGAGAGGGGGAGAGATTGTTGGCATACAGAATGTGCCTAAGAGGACTATTTTGAACATTACAAAGAATGCAACCAATATTATATTATACAAAAGAAACAACACATATTAAATAAAATATCTTTCACTACATGTTGGTATTTTAACGTGTGTATAAAATGGTCATAAAACAATAATAATGCATGTGAATTATTTGGTACATTTATTTCCATTGAGCCAAACTCTGTGAAACTATTCTACTTATGACAAGCACAGCAAAAAATAATAAGGTACAAATCTTGTCTGCCATACTGACAACATTCAGTTTTTGATAATGAGTGAGAGTCATAAAACTTAAACAAAAACCTAAACTTTAGACACAATTTGGCTTTCGATATATAATACTTTCTTTAGAAAAATACAATCAAAATTAAACAGACAAGCCATGTCAGTTAAAGTTAACAAAAATTGTTTAAATGAATTCTTACTGCCTAAATATATTATATATATATATAAGGTTTAAAATTAATTTTTGAAAATAAAAAATCTTTCTTGAAGCTTTTATTTTAGTTTTAATTTCAAGTTAATAGATTAAACTTAATGTTTACAATAAGCAAAATACTTTTCTGTATTTCAAAACAAATTTAAATTGACCATAAGGAGTTTTTGTTTTGAAATCACTAAAAATTGCTGATTTTAGCATCATTTTTAGCCATCTGTCAACTCAATGTAATTCTCTTTATGAAAAAATCATTTACAAATATACTTTTCTGAAACTTTATTTTGGGAATATTAGCTGATTTAAAGTTTAATTAACATGATTTGAAACAAATATTACTTACCTTTAGTTTAAAATATCACAGAAATGCATTTTGTAACACAAAGGTAATTATTTAAGATGTTGACATTTTTACTGACAGGCAGAAGTTTATCTAATTTTTTTCTGCAGGGGATATATCTGTAAAATTTACTTGAGGAATATAATGTGAGCACCATTTTACATAATTTTTAACTAACTAGTAATCTTAAAAATTTAGAAAAATATTCTCTGTACTCTAATGTTTTATTGAATTTTAGGTACTTTAGCTTTAAATTTACTAGAGTTATCTCACTTATTTTCTGATTGTGTCAAGTATAGACATCTGTATTTAAAAAAAATCAAACTTCTTTTTAAAATCGTAAATGGGGAGGGCTGATTGTAGTTTTTCCATTTATGATTAGTAAATATAGTATAACTTATAACTACATCACCTAACTGGTACAAATTAATACAAAAATTTTAAAGATGTAAAACTTTATAAATTATTCTGATTAAAATGTTAAAAAAATGAAAACAATTCTTGTAAAAGTTAATTATTTTTCAACAAAATGTTTCTTTCTTACTACAATAGTCTCCATAATGTATAATCTTATTCATAAAAAACAATTAAAAGCTTTTTTAATTAAATAATGTCTTAGTTTTATTGCATTTTTTATTTCATGATTCAGAGAAGATTTTCAGTAATTGGGGATGCTGTTTTACAAAAAAAAAATTGATGATAAAATTCTCAAAGGAGTTCTGTGTATAACTAATATAAATACTAGGTGGTATTATTGGGCTCGTCCATTAGCCCAATCTTACCTTCTTCGAGTAATGCACTAGATTGGTTCATTTCTACCAATCAGGTCGCCCACACGTGCACTTCGAAGTTTTGGCGCAAAATCATTTTGGATCCACCCACGTGATCATGACCTCTTAAAAAGAACCCAAAGCATGTGTGAACAGCATATGCAGACCTGGGCAGATCAGCAGCAGACCATTTTTTGACCACTCACTCAAGCTTAAAAATGTGACGACTACAATTCCCATCTCATGCATTGAGACAACAAATCTTTCCCATTCAATATCTTCTACAAATTTCTTCGTCATTCAAGAATCTCAAACTATACATTCTCTTTGACCATCTATGATAAATCAGTCAGTCCAGCAAACATAGAGAAACGCTCATCTAATCCACGTCACTTGCGATTATAATTTTCCCGTGCAAACGAAACCACAACTGACTCACTCACAAACTCGACTCGAAGATTACTCTGTGAATACAAAGAACTTCTACTTGCAAGACTTTACTTATCCAAAGTGAATTATTAACACTCACTACAATTAAGTAAAATACTATTATTGAACATACTTAATATTTACAGTTAAGAGTAGACTACTTCTGAATGACTCAATTCTAAAAACATAATAACGATATTCTAAACACTAATTACAATTTTCTTAAGGACTGTAATACAAATACACAAAACACTAAAAGGACATACAAAAAAGTTCAGTTACTATGAACATACCAACACAGTAACATCTTGTAAAATATTTTGTATATAATATTTTAATTTGTATATAAATACATTTGTTTGTTTGAATTGCATGCATGTTTTGCCTTGTTTATATCAAGAATTATTTATTGTTGTGGATGCAAGAGAAGATCACGCAACCTGACATAAAAAATTCCTTCTGATTTATTTTAATACCATAGCAAAATTCTTAGTTCATTCTGTGCATCCCCAACAGTATAAAAATTAATTTATCAAAATTTCATAAAATTAAATAAGTGATGGGGGGAGATAACAGATGTAAAAATATGCTTCTACCAAGATTTTCTAAAGGAAGAAACATTTCTAAAATAATTTAATTCATTTGTGAATAAGTCCTGAAAGTTTCACTAAACTCTGCCAATTATTTGACTTTTGCAAAAATTTTCAAATCAATGTGGCTTTCACCACAAAAAAAGATGCTAAAATTTCCTATACCCCGGTGCAAGAAAAACAAGATTTTTAACCAAAATTGTGAATGTTCTTCAAAGAATAAGAAATATAATTTAATAATCAAAAAATCCTTGGGTCTTTCCTTTTAATAATAACAAAGATTTTGATGATAAAACTTTTTCATCATGGTATGCTCTCTTTTTAGCAAATCTGTGGAGGTACCCCTCTCTCTCTCTCTCTCTCTCTTGCTCTCTGTATATATATATATATATATATATATATATATATGCATACACACATATACACACACACACACATTCATATATGGCTATATACAAGGGGCGTAAGGTATTTGAGGACATATTGAAGACCATAGGAAAAATAACCACATCTTACAAATAACTAAACTTATTGATGCGAAACTTGGTACACAGATGCAATAATGGTTGGATTACATACTTATTCAATGTAATTGCCTTCAGCTACAATGATGGCTTCAATGTAGTCCTAGAATCATGTACACATCATGTGGTCTATATTCATATTGGACATTACTTGGGTAATGGCAGCTTTCAGGGAATCAGTTGTATTGTGAGAACGTTCATTAGTCCCGCATTCAACAACACCCCACATATAATAGTCAAGGGGATTCAGCTTGGCCAAGTTAGGTTGCCCCATGTTTGGTGTAATGTGATCATGCAGAGTGGCTGCTATCCATTTTTGGGTCAACACAGCTTTGTGGTGAATGAGATCCTATTGAAATGCACACAGCCTTCCATTGCAAACAAGGTTTATCTGGGTCTTCACAAATGTTTCCAGTACCTCAGTGTAGCCAACAGCATTCAACGTAAGACCCTTGTTGAAAGAAGTGAGATGGCATAACACTACTCACCATCCCTAAAACCATCAAAGAAGCAGGAAAACTTAATGTGCATAAAATGGGAAACATCAGAAAGATCTGCACATAACAACCAATCATTTCTCCAGTTCACTTTTCTTGATCCTGGATTTTTCTTAAAAAATCCAGAGCATGCCAGTCACTTCTGAATGCCTCAACTTGTTCAGCCATTTTTTTTTTGCTCGGAACAACCATTGTTCTTCTATGTGTGCAAACATATGACTGATGATGGTAATTTAGACATTCACTTTTATAGTTAAGAGTGCACAAATTTATGCTAGTAGGTTTCTTATATGGGGAGATAGTAAATTTATTGCTATTAGTGTTTGTCAATATATATAGGAATTTTATTACTATTATTAAGTTTTTATGTAAATTTAAGGACAGAATTATTTTGTAATTGTTTTTGGAGTTGATATAATTCATCCATTTTCTTGACTAATATAAGGATATCATCGACATATGTTAGCTAAGTGACAAATTTTATTTATATTAATTATATATATATATATATATATATATATATATATATATATATATATATAAAAATAAAGACTGCAATTGACAATAATAAAGGTTGGCCAGGTATTTTGAAAGATAATGTTTTCCAGACAAGCAATTTTGGGAATTATAGTGGTCAATGTCAAAATT